TGCGGCTGCTTATTTGACTGATCGAATTTCTTTTTGAGGTGTATTCTAACAAGTCAATATCGAACATCGTCGAGTCCAGTCATTACACCGAAATCCATAACTGGTGTCGTGAAGAAGGCCAACCATGCAAATGGTCGTTTTGGTCAAGGCCGTATCATTGCATCGGTAGGCTTTGTCGTTGTGCTCAATGTTGCATCTTAAAAACTTCATTACAAGTCGTGCTTTGTATGTAATGCATGAAGAACAATTAATAGAAATTTTGTTATTATTAATTTACTATACCATAGGTTAATAGCATTGAATATAACCTTATCCAATACACTGTACAATAACAATGTACGGTAGAAGGTCGACAGACGAATAAAAGGCAGAAAATCGTACCAGAAATCAGTCTCTCAGCGGTTGATGCTTATGTCTATGGTTCAACGATACTTCCATGTACGCAGGTTATGAGGCACGATTGAGTAGTGAATATTTAAGACTCGTTGCGGTAAAAGAAATTTTGCAACATCTTTAATTCAGTGGCTAATCAATACTCGTGCGTCTTGTGATCTGAACATAAGGCGACCCCAGGGCAGTTTATGTGCAGGGCATGCGACGTTATATGTCACATGTGTTCGTTAACCCTTCCGGTTATTACTTTATTTCTGATAACCCCGTGGCTACTGGTCGTCTCTTTTTTCGTGGCCGCCATAATTCGACGTATCCAGCAAGAGCAAAAACTAGAACCAGAAACTGTGTGGAAGATGACGGCATTTAAAGTTAAGAACTCCACGCATTTCACTTCAGCAATCAATTAGACTGCTGGTACGTGTTTTTCTGACAAACTAACTGCCGGAAAACCGCAACCACGCCATTTATAACTTATTATGTGAATAAGTCGAGTAACTAAATGAGTAAATTGCCTTTGTGCCTTAAAAACACTGATTGTGAAAGTTGATCGTAGTTGGTGAATACGAGAGCGAGCCGCTGCTAGTGCCGGACGGCTGTCAATTTGCCCATGTTGACGACCGGAACTTGTGTGCAAATTTTTCGTCATGGAACGCGACGGCGATTCAGAACTGCGCGAATCGCAATGGTCAGCGAGTGCTATCGTTCTCGATGCTCGAGTCTTGCGGTCTGGACCGCTTCTCCGGGGTGCAGTTCGTCTGTTGTCCTGCCAAGGATGAGAAGTCGACTACGACGACGACGATGGCTAACGCCCGCCGTCTGCAGAACATCAGCGCAAAACTGCGTATTGCCCGACCCGACCATTGTGTATGGTCACTGGTCACACTGGTCACTCATTGTGCTACGTTTAGAGAACGAAGCTTTGGCCGTCGAATACGACGCTAGCGACAACGAGAGCGACGAGGATGACGGTGATGACGAAGACGATGGGCAGTACGACCGTATCGACGCCTCACAGGTGACCAAGTCCACTGCCGCGCCTAAGTCGCCTGTAGCTACGTTGACCAAGGCATTCGTTACGAAGGACGTCGTTATGACCGATGACGACGATGATGATGACGAAGACGATGGTACGGCATAACAAGTTATATTTGTAAAACGGTACTTGAATCATCCAACTGAATACCACCACGTATCCATATTCAACACCACCTTCCTTTGTTTTCACATAAAAACTTATTCATAAAATAATTGTCTTCATGCTTCCTCAATGTTCCGCATATATACAGCTGAAATTTCGAGTTGTACCCAGATTGTGCTACTCCACTTTGTAGCGAAACGTGTTGGTAGTAAACTGCTAACGTCTACGTTGCATCGTACTCTCAACCATTAATCGGATGAACAGACTACCATTCGTTTTGTTCATAATACCAGATTTTTCAGCTTATTAGGCTCTCAACCCTCCCCATGAATTTGAAACAGAAAGATAAGGGAAAGATATACATGTAATTTTCCATAATTATTCAGTGCATTAATTATTACTTTACCGCTTAGGAAAATTTAAATTCGATTAGGCAGCTGTGCAGCAGCGATTGCTTCCACGCGTAATAACTTTGGAGCCATAAAGAATGAGTCAGTTCTCTTCTAAGGCAGTGGTAATATTTGTAAATGAGTTGATTGGCATTGTCAGACAAACTGGTCAAACGCAAGCGGTTCACTCCAGCCATGACGGACGACTTCAAACATACCGGCAGGTTTATGCCACATAAAGCATAGACACTTTAATGTATTGAAAGCAGATCAATACTTTAGATGACATTTGTTAAGGAAAAAGATTTTTTTGTATGCCAAAAATATAATGCCGATTTTCTTATTGGACGGTCATTCGACTATAGTAATAATATGTGGTATACGAATGACGATAGACGAATATACGTCATACCGAAAAATGAACTGTTTGTACGAACAAAAACTCTTTTGATTAACAACTAAATGATTGTTGCATTATAGGTAATGGTTCCTTGGAATTTCATGGTAGTTTATAAATTGTTTTGTTCTCTTTGCTGGATCTGACCGTCAGCATCGTAAACTTGTATTTTTGCCAGTCGTCCGAGAATATGTGACTAATTAGAGTTGCACATAAGATTTGTGTACGAGAATTTTTCATAAATCGTACACCGTGTAACGCAATCATCTCATAATCTCTCGATAATAAGCATAACCACGGTTGCTGATCGATCCCGCTGCTTTTTCGTTAGATTTGCTTTAAAGACATTACTCATGTTTTACATTAGCTTATGTCTCGTTAGCCGAAGGCTTCAGTATTTGCGGCAGTTCTTCTCGTGGTTATTTCACCTGGCAGAGTTCGATATACCCGTTGTGTTATACTCCTTCCCTTGGTCGTAATGCGTGTTCAGGTGCCACTGGAATTTATGTGCTGGGGCCAAGTTGAAAAGTAATATGCTGGTTTGTACATCGATACAGTATTTGTTTGCGTTGAGTGAGTGAAAAAATCTGAAGCAAGGTTTGTTTAGTCTAATAAGTATTTTTTTCATTGCCAGAAGACGATGACTTTGAAGAAAAGGACCCATACTTCCGGATTGCCGATCCAAAACGAGAGCACGAATTGTACCATGCTGCTCTGCAGCGCCTGGAGCAGCGACATCGTCCGAAAGTTAATAAGGTATTGCGTAAAAATGATGCGCTTTCGCCAACTCATTAATTTCAAGGAAATCAAGGAGTGGTCAGAAGCGCAACTCCGCTACAAGGAGGTGAAGGAGAAAGATCCGAAATATGCTGAGAAGTTGAACAAACAGATTAGCAAGGTGAGTATTGGCCTTGTGGAGGTGGGGAACATACGGTTTTAGGGTAGCAACGCGTTTGAAGTATACGAGATGTGCATTTTAATTGGCGCACTGGCTGCCGCTTTTAGAGTTTCGAAAACACAGTGGCCGCGCTGGAAGAGGAGTACAGGGACGAACGGCTGCAAATCGAGGAGGTGCACCAGCAGCGAGTGATGGCGGAGATGAACGAGAAGAAGCGTGCAGCGTTGAAGTTGTTCCGTGCCAGCCTCGTTTCGTCTAAACCTAACCGCAAGAACCTGTTGCACGCGATGAAGGCGTTGTTCCGCATCGAAGAGAAAAACCGTACTCACCTGCTGAACCATTTCAAACATCTGTTGAGAACCGACCCGGAGGCAGCCAGTGCTTTCAAGTCGTCCCTGCAGAAAGGCCTGAGGGACATCGACCTGTCGGAGAACCGGACGATCGCAATGCTACGACAGACTCCATCTTTGGAGAGTAAAGTCAGGACCGCCATAAGTACGTGATTCGTGTTTTTTGCAAAAGGGTGATGAAACCAGTTGCAGTAACAGAATCCTGTTAGATGCTTCGCTTCTAATGACTGGCATAATATATTGAGGCACCGTTGGGTTCACATTTTTTAAATTCATCTTTTGGATATAGTGGTAATCTGATTCGAATACGACGTGTAAGAACGTTTTTGCTAATCGAGTGTTTCGACCGTACCTAAAGTCGGCTTTTTCGGTTTTTAACTAAACCCGGTGTTTACTATTGGACGTAGTAAAAGTTTAATATTCATGTTCCAACATCCGAAACCCCTGCACCAACATGTAATCAGTTCAGTAACTGCGCATAAAAATCAACATCGAAATTTTCATTATGTCGATTTTTGAAAGCTCAGACGTATTTTTTCAAGCTTTATCAGCAGAATCGGCAACTGAGCTTATTTTAAATTGAGTACTTTAGTTGTTTATGCAGAAGGAAAGTATTTAATCGCCTAGTTCTTCAAGTGGTCTATTCAGCATATAAACTTAATTTCACTAAACGAAATGGAAGCTTTTCACTTAGAGCTGGATTCATCTTTAGGGGCCATGGTTTAACGACACGTGGAAAAATTATTGTTGACATTCCCCTGTCACTTCTGCAAGTTTTTGCGGCATAGTTCACCCCCTTCTTCTACTAGCCTTTAAGCGGACCACTGCTCCATGATATATTAACCCATAATAATGGGGCTTAATTGCGGTATATATACCACTGGACCGAGTTACTGATGTTCGGACATGTTTTTGGGTGACACAACAAGGTGGTACTGTTCTACGTGCATGCATTGTAGGCGCTAAAATATAACAGAGCATTTCTCTGCAGAACCGTACCCCAGTGCTTCTACAAGCAAGGAATCCGAGGATGCGACAGAAAAGGGCAGTATTTAAATCTAGCAGTCTGCTAGCAGACTCATTGCTAAATTCTCGTTTTGGAGTGCTTATGGGTAATTTTCTGATAACTCCAGCGAACGAGCGTATATTTGTGTTTATGCTCTAAATGTAAGAAGAATCGACTCGTATAGTCTCTCGCAAAAAAAAGATACGATATGCATCTGTCACT